GATCTAACTATTGCTTCTTATCCTTCTACATGGCGCAAAGTACAAAATTACCGACGAGGTTGGCAACTAGATCCATCCTACGTGGGTTGTGTGTCTTCGCAGTTGCCAAGCAGAGTACACTAGATCTGCCATGAACTGTGTTAGAGATAACCGTAAGTTCTCTGTAGATTGATGCACGTAGTTGATAAATGGATGGATGTGTGGGAATCCATAAAAAGATAGATAAAATTGAGAAATTTGGAATAATGTAGGGTGTCAAAAGTAATTGCCACTGGTGTCTAACGTCAGTTGCCACCTATCATTGTCGTCAACTGCCACCATGTCAACATATAGCTTGCCATCCTATTGTAGTGGCTGATGCCATCGAATAAAACGGTTAGCTAGCACTCATATTTTAGAAAAAGATAGTGGATGTACATGTCCTACTAGCCATGATATGCCGGTTGCCTACGCATGGAAATGTGATAACACTGACATGTTAACTTCTACATGCAAGCATCACAAGGATACATTTTTTGTGGATTGTTAATGCATTCTTGTTCATGCAGTGATTGATAGCACGGTGGCAGAAAACGAGACGCGGGAAAGAATGAGTCACGGAGATGGCACTGATCTTTTCGGTTCTCAAAGGCCAGAAACGCCCCCTTGGGATGCATCAGAATACAGTCAACTCATTTCTGCAGGGCCGTTGCTGCCACTACTAGAACAGTACGCAGGCATTGGTATGATGCATGAAAAACAAAAAGAAAAAGAACATTTGCCATGTTCGCGACAATGAAGATGACAATCTACTTATGTCCTACACTGTCATTTTTTTGCAGGTTCTTATGACCAAAACACACTCAGGGGGGCACCATGGCAAGTTCAGTCACAGGACGCTAACACTGACAAATGTGCAGGCAGCCAACTTCAAGTAGCTAATGCGGCAAGTCAAGGTAACGCATACGAAAATGAAACATACTGGTCTGAACATGAAAAATAAACTTGCAAAAGGATGGCAACAGACTCACGAGTTATGTCGGGAAAAATACAGAGCCTTCGTGCAGCACGTGGCGGCAGTCGGCACCAATGTACCTACCATCGACGTCGTACACAGGTTAGTCCATAAAAAGTGAAGTTGCGGACAATGAATTAGCAGAAGGAGCGTAGTTGACAACTACAGTTGCCATCCCATAACAACTGCAGTTGCCATCAATGGACAACTTGTAGTTGCCATCCGTGGACAACTTGCAGTTGCCATCCATGGACAACTGCAGTTGCCATCCTGGACAACTTGAGTTTGCCATTCATTGACAACTTGCAGTTGCCATGCATTACTCATCTAAATACCATGTTTACAGGTTATTACGATGCTTCTACTCTGACAAACATCTCATGGCAAGCTTCACTCAATGCAGATACATCACATCAATTTGGTGTTACGGACCACACAATATGGGCACATACAACACAACAAGGTAAAATAAAAAATTTGCATAGTGAGATCGAGACTAGAATATAAAAAAATTGATGCTAGCACACATTAGTTTGGCATGCGTTGGCGGCAGTATTTGCCATGTATGCAGGACTACAGCTGCCATGCACATAAAATCCAAGTTTTCATACTGAAAAAATGAGCTGGTTGCCATGCATGACTGATGCAACTACTGAAAAACCAGTAGTTGCCATGTTTGTTGGACAGTAGCTGCCATGACTAGACAACTACAGTTGCCATGCATGTCGACATGCAGACTAACAGCTTGCTTGTTTGAATGATGTCATGCCAAATCACTTGAAGTTGATGTACTCCGTTACGATAAACATGTCATTCAAGCAAAAGATCTTACGCTTGTCCCTGGTTTTTTCTATTACAGGGCCTACGACTAAAGTGAACAGCGGCGCAGGGGCATCTACTGCGGAAGCTCTGAGCGCACGGAAGACGCGGTCCTCCAGCCAGCCACAAGTCATGCCGCAGACAATCCCGAGTCAGAGTCAGAAATGGCAATCATTCCTGCAATGCCGACAAGCACCCCCTTGAACACAAGCACTGGCAACACTCAAGCAGATCAAACTGCCGCCGATACTGAAGTGAATGATGAAACTAACGACGAGGCACAAGGGTATGAAGATGATGGGCAATCAGAGATCATGGTACCTCAGCCACCGTACGTTGGGCAGAGATTTGAATCGTTCAAAGAAGCAAAGGAATTCTACCAGACATATGCAAAGTTCCATGGGTTTGCGGTCAACACCGAATACCATAGGAAGATTAAGAAAACAAACGAGTACAACAGAGGTAAGATGAGGTGCCACAAGGCACGAAGGAACAAGAAGGGGAAAGGTGTTGCGCCTGTCGTTCCAGAACGAAAGAGAGGGGTCATTCTCAAGACGGGATGCCCTGTCCGGTGTAAGCTAAACGTAGATGGAACACAGTATGTGGTCACTGACTATTTTGATGAGCAGAACCACAAACTCATAAAGAAGTTCGACCTGGTAAAATTTCTGACCGCCCACAGAGGATTCACCCCCGTCGAAAGGCAATTCGTAAAGCTGCTACATGATTGTAACGTCGGTCCATCAAGAATGGTACAGATACTATCACTCATCCACAACAAAAAGGGGACTCTGAGTAGCATGCCCTACATACCAGCTGACGTCACAAACCTACAGGCAAAGTACCATAGAGAGAGCAAGTTGGCTGACATAGAGGCCACAATGGCCTACTTCGACGAGAAAGCGAAGGAAGATCCAGATTTCTCTACAGGATAAGGTTGGACGATGAGGACCGTGTCAGGAACATGTATTGGGTGGATGTTGCTGCAAGAGAGCCTACAAACATTTCCGAGATTGCATTTCATTTGACGCAATGTATCTCACTAATATGTACAAGATGCCATGCGCTCCGTTCATAGGAATAAATAACCACAATCAGTCGTTGCAGTTCGGCTGCGGGCTCATTCGGAACGAAGACACGGATGGGTACTTTTGGCTGTTCAAGACCTTTTTGGAGTGCATGGATGGACTTGCTCCGATGAACATAATAACAGACCAGGATTTCAGCATGCGTGCAGGCATAGAGGAGGTCTTTCCGTTGGCAGTGCACAGGCACTGCAGGTGGCACATTATAAAGAAGGCTGAGGAGACGCTAGGACCGTTCTTTGCTGACCGTCGAGAGCTCCACA